AACCGAAGAACACATGAAGGAACAAGTCTCACCTCAGCAAACAAGCGCCTCCTCATTGCACCCTTCAGATTCACCGCCGTCAGCAGCCGGTTTGGACGCTAAGGGCAGTTCTCCCACTAGTGGGGCATCTATCGAAAACACTCAAGACAGACCTGAGGGTAACTCAGAGGTGACCAGGCTGATCGACAGTGGGGATGAGCTCTTGTCACAACTAGCGGAGCCCCCAACCCAGGGTTCTGACTCAGGAGACGGGCAGACAGCCGAGCACAGTACTGGTTGTGAGGCAGAAAGGACATTTCAGTGTCAGATATCTACAGTGACTTCTGAAGTTATAAATGTGCTAATAAATAAGGACCAAAATGTAGTCATTGAAAAGGGGGACAACTGGACCATCATAAATGCGGTACCACTCATGCCAAATGTGGACCAGGTTATCCTGTGTGACACCCCAGGAGAAATCCCTGCTTCTCCAGATGGAGGAGGGCCGGGAGCTGGTTTCATTTCTGTAACTTCTATGGAGAAGTCCCCAGAGACCAGCCACCCTGGCTCTCCATTTCAGGAGCCCCCATGTGACAGTAATCTTCCATGCACCCAAGAGGATATTTCCAGCAGTGGTCAGAGTTCCAACTTTGATAAAAGTCGTTTGCGGAATAGACCTGTTAAACCTAGCATAAGGATTAGTTCTGAAATTTATGATCAAATCTTTGAGTCTCAGATTGTTGCATCTGATCACACATATTATAACTCAAAACTGGAGCCATTTGGCAAAAACAAGAGCCGATCGAAGATTTCAAACAAAGATCAGTCATACAAACCTATAAAGACTTCAGTACCGGGCAGAGCTGAAACTAATCCAGATGAAATTTCTCAGTCATCTTTGGGGGACAGAGGTAACACAAAAACCCAGAGACCTCAGACTCAGACCATTCTGGCCAATGCTGACACCTCTACCCCTACAGATTGTTCTGCTGACACTCTGAATAAAATACGTCAGGAGGTGGGGCCCCCTTTGCCACCCCTGCTTGCTCCTTTGATTGCCACGCCTCCAAGGACTTCACACCCAGTTTCTCCTCTGATATCAAGTTCCAGTCCCTCCTCACCCACCTCTCCTGTTGGCCAGCTTTCTCCATTGTGTGAGATCCCAATGCCACCCATGATGTCTCCTTTGCTGGAAGATCCGGGGCGTGCCTCCCCTTCGTGCACATCTCCATCCCCGTCAGCTGTACCCGCAGGGGAGAGGATATTGTCATCTCCTTTGCAGTTTTGTGCCGCCACCCCAAAGCATGCCCTTCCCGTGCCCGGCAGACTGCCCCCCTGTGCATCAACTCACACTGCTGTGGCTGGGCCCCAGGAGAATTCTGTTAAAATCCTTGACACCATGTACCCAGAGTTATCTGCCAGGGCCCGCACTCTCAACATCCTCAAAGGGAATATTCAGCTCTCGCGAGGTTCAGCTGCTGACCGTCAGAATTTACCAGGACCAGTCAGTGCTATAACAGGCTTCAAAGCAATCGCTTCCATGTCAACCGCCTTTGTCAAAACGGGGGGCAGCTCTGGTGGTGACTGTAACCAGGATAAGTCAAGGGACTTGGGGACTCAGCAGGATTCAGGTGGGAAAAGGACATTGTCAGCGTGTACACTGAGGAGTGCTAAAAGATTGCGCCTGGACAGCGGGTCCCCAGAACCAGAAACCAGGAGTGCCACTCCTGAAGGCGTCAACAAACACCCCGGCAGGAACCTCCCTCAGGCTGAAGTTGCAGCAACAGATGAGGAACCAAGTTCTGTTCCGGCTGCCAGTACAGTTTCACAGTTGTCTCTGAATCCCAAAGAAACTGTGGAGTCCCATGATAAAGCCATAGCCGATGCCCTGAAAAAGATTGCAGAGTCCTCCTTTGACCTGTTGCCTGTCATTCGGAGTCACGTATATGTGGGAAATATCTCCAAAAAGCCTGTAATGAGAGATCAAGAGAAAGAAGTTGTCTATGACTTCAGCACAACAAAGAAGGTAGGTGACAGCTATTCTCTGAGAGCTTAGGAGTTGCTCATTCTGAGGTACAGGCTGTCTGCTGTCAGCAAAATGACAGAGGACCTGAACAGAAATTTTAGTTCAGAAGTGGACAATTATCCACACAAACAGACCTATACTTTATTTCTAGCCAAGATTTATACATTGGAGATGTGACATTACATTGGAGATAAGACATTAGAGATTTGATAGTTTGTGTTCATCAAATAACTTAAAATTTTTTTAATACATGTACACACACAAATTGTTGTAGCAAAAACCTAGACACTATAACTGGCGGGAGTGGTGGTAGTGACAACAGGCAGCCAGGTGTGCTCAGATCTGCCACTGGACAGATGTGGTCTTATCCCCCAGAGTCCCTTGGCTTGCCTGCTAAGCAGGTTTTTACTGGTTACTACCCTCTGCTACTTTCTGACAGAGTGCGTGTTTTATTTTTCTGGGAGATACTAAATTTTGTAACTTTTAGCTATTCTTTATCAGGCTAAAGATAAGTATCATTGTACATTGCCTTTTCTTTTTATTTTCCCCACTCCAGCATTTAGCAGAGTGCTTACTTCACTCTATTCTCTCAGAACTAAAACTTCAGAAGACATCTCTCGAACACAATTACATTCACGCGCTCTGCAGAGTGTATGTGGGTATTTGTCGGCAACTTGGAGATGTGGAAAGAGCTCGCTTGTTCTGCTACAGCCTACTTAAGGAAGGTATGTTGACATGGCGGCTTTTTCATATTGAAGATGTATTGTGTTTTTACCTCATTATATTTAGATCTGTATTTTTAGCTAAGCAATTGCTGTGTATCTTTTTAAACTGTGTAATGGTTTGTACATGTACCAGAGGGCATGTAGAGCCTTAGGTATACCTGTTCATTCCTGGTTTCCGGTAGGAGAATTTCTGTGACAACCTTACTTATGTCAGTGTTTCACTTGTATAGAATACAGGGTCTCTCATTACTGTGTATTTGTTTTATTCCTTGTGTAGCTACTTTAGAATCAGATAGTTGACAAAAGATAAGGGAATGATTTAAAGTAAGTGACAAACCACACTGCTGTGTCATCAGCTGCAAAGGTCAGAAAATATAAGATGGATTCATAGAAGAGTATCATTGAAGTGGAAAGGAGACTGTCCTTTGATTCTCTTTTCCCTTTACTGCCATTTCTTCTGCCTCTACTGATGGTCAGATTAGGAGTCATTCTTCATTATATCAGATCATCTGTGGAGACATTTTTAAATAGTAAAATGATATACAAATGCAATTTAATACATCAGAAAGTCTTATCTAGATTGCAAAGATTTATAATCTTTTATTACCATGTTTGTGGGGCTTATAAATCAGGATAATTGAATGTACCCATCAATTCTAGAATTGTGAATGAGGCTTCTGTTTGTAACCCATTCCACTTTGTTTACTCTTTTAGTCACTGATTTATTCAACAAATAGCTCCTGGTGCACGCTAAGTGTTAGGGCTTCAGTGGAGACCAGAACCAGATATGATCATTTAGTGGGGCCAGTGTATGGCAGCAGCACACAGCCCCACGTCGGCTTTGTCAGTGGGGGCAGGAGGAAGGAGGGGCACAGACTCTGCTGAGCACAAGCTGGGGTTTTGGTTTTTCCTCAGGCACAACCAGCCCCTTCTCACCTCAGGCTCTTTTGTTTTCGGTCTCTCTCTTGGGGAACTTTCCTCCCAGTTTCGTATGGCTCGCTCCAGGACTTCATATACTCCCTTGGCCATTCTTTATCGCTGTGCTCCTCTTTTCCTTCATGTCACTTACCTGCTCACGTTGTTTGATTACCATCCACCTCCTCCATTGGATCGCATACTCTGTAAGGACAGCAACTTCGTTACTCTTGTTTCTACCATAGTTCCACCCCGGGAAATGCATTGTGCATAGTCCTTACCTGTTGAATGAGTAGATTGTCCTGTGGAAGGCAGATCTGAGCACATGTGAGGGGGCGGGGAAGCTTTCCTTGTCAAAGCGGCGTTTGAAATTGAGATGTGAATGTGCTAAAGAATACCTAAGGGAAAAATGAGGGAGAGAGCTCAAGGTAGAGGGAACAACACATGAAGAAGTCCTGGGACAGGAGGAAGTATAACTAGATAAACACAAGGTCTTAGAAGTAACAGATCAAAACAGTGCAGTTTATGCTTTGGGTTACCCACTCTTTAAACTCATTGTCGTGTTAGCTACAATAGAACAGAGACTCAAAAAGACGTGGCTTCATGTCAAACAAAATAAAAATCTTCATGTTGACTGGGTATGACCAAGTTGCAAAACACTTTGACAGTTTCTTATAAAATTAAATCATTAGTTTACCATATGACCTAGAAATTTCACTTTTAAGTACTTATCCAACAGAAATAGAGACATATCTTCTCATGGACTAGTACACAGATATTCATAGTATATTCATTCATTATATCCCATAACTGGAAACAGATGTCCATGAGCAGTGATGAAAAACAAGCATGATTATAAGCAATGGAATAATACCCAAACATAGGAGTGCACTACTGATGCTTACAACAGTGGGGATAAATCACAGAAACATGCTGAGGGGAAGCCAGACAGAAAGGGTACATGTGCTCCATGTAAATAAGGTAAACTAATTTAAAGTGACAGCAAGCAGATCAGTATTGTCTGGAACTGGGGTGAAGTGATTCACTGGAGAGGCTCAAACCCTGGGAATTTGGGATGATGGCAATGTTCTATATATTGACTGTGGTGGGGGTTACATGGATATATTCATTTGTCAAAATTCATCCATCTGCTTAAAAGAGTGTATTTTATTGTTTGTAAGCTATGCCTTAATTAAGTTAATTGAATGAAGGACAAGCCATTGTGGGAAAAGGTATTTACAACAAAGAATTATCATCTGTAGTTTATGAAAAATTATCTTTTCAATGCTTTATGTGTTGTTCTACAGGAAGTTCTCTTGTAAATGCACGTGCACGCATGCACACACGCACGCCTGAAATGACACTAACCAAATGCAAGGGTTCTGGGACTGGGGGCAGGGTGGAGAGAGGATGGTTGTCTTGTCTTCATGCTTTAGAGTTTACTGATCTTTTCATACAGTGCTGTATATCCATGTATTATGTTTCAAATTTAGAGAAAGCTTCCAAATGGAAGGGGGGAAAGAGAAGCAGATTTTTAAATAATAGGCTGGGCCTCATTGGGTAGGAGGCCTTGCAAGGCACAAATGAAATTACTAACATTTACTCTTAGTTTGTTAATTATTCACTTGATCAGACATAAAAGTTTATTATCTTATTTTCTTTCTTATAGATTTTCCAGAGTCAGAAAAATTGACTTTGTTCATTGCAAACATGTGGCATGATATATTTATCTCTCAATCGGTGATTAATAAAGCAATGCAGCTAGTTGCCAGGCAACGTGCTAAAGGAGAAGTTCTGAACTGTTTAAGAGCTTTTCTCAATTGGGAAAAGGTGAGGTTTATTTTTACTTCTTGTAATACCATACTTTGTAGATCTCACATAAATGTTATTTGGTTTTGTATTTGGTTTTCTATTAGTTGATAGGCCTTTTAGAGATAATATATTCTTTGCATTAGATCCTTTAAAATGTCATTTTAGCCTAAGCTTTGCATTTTATTTATTAAGTATGCGTGAGACCTTTTGGGAAGAATTGTAGACCTGTGTATTGTGTTAATTTAACAGTTTATTTTGTGTACTAATTTATGACTGATGAGATTATACATATGTATGTATGTATGTATGAGGGCTCCAAGGAGAGCTGTAAATAATTTGTTTCTCCAGTCCATACTAAGAAAAGTGAAAAAGTTGGTATCTCAACTTTTTCCTGTTAAGATTTTTCTGAATCTGTGTTTTTCTTTCAAGTGATGGAATTTGTATTTGTTCTAAGTATTTTGTTCCCTATTTTCTTATAAAGAGCAAAGAAAAAGGCCACTCTCCCAGGCTGCCTGCTGGGTCCTTTGACTCCTGCGTTGTCCTCGGTGCGTGCAAAGGAGCCTTCTCCTTTGGCCTGTTCAGGATGTAGCCAGATGTGATGGTTTGATAAGAAGAGACATTATTTATAAAGAAAATAGAATTTTAATAAACATCTTTACCTTGTATCATATTAAATAAAAATATAAAGGCAAAGCTATAAAAAATGAGGAATACTTGGGGGGGAATACTATTATATTACAAGACTTCCAAATTCTATTACAGATTTCAACAGATCTGATAGACAAAAATCACTAGAGACATAGTGGAATTCAATAATATAAAAGGTAAACTTGAATGAAGAATCTGTATTTTTTCATATTTTTTCACATTTTGTAAATGTGGCACTTTTACAAAAACCAGTCATGAGTTTGGCCACATGAAAACCTTAATTTTTAAAAAGTAAAGATTCTACACTCACAATTCTCTGGTAATCAATAAAATTAGGCATAATAAAGATTTCATAAAAATGACTTGAAAATTTAAATATACAGTCCTGGACAATCCATGAACAAATAGAAACTCAAAAGTAAAATTACAATCTTTCAAAAGTCATTGAAAAAGAAAATTTTTATAACAAAGATCTCTGGTTTTTGGAAAACATATTCATTAGTTTAAATGTATTTATTATTAAGCATATAAATAAAGTGGGCTGATAATCATCTTAAAAATTAAAAGTCTCAGAATCTAGGAAAAAATATAGTTTAAAAGGTAATACAAGTAATCAAGAAGAGAACAAAAAACACACAAAAAAAATCATTGTCTTTAAAAACACTAACAAAACTGATAACTCAGTTCAAATTAATGAAAAAAGAGAAAAGCAAAAATATCCAAGATTTTGGCTGAGCATAGAGACATATGTACATTTACAGGATAATGACTGAGAAAAGACTACAACCTACAGATCTAGAGCAACAGATTTGGAAACCTAGGATGATTTCTTAGCAAAATAAATCTGACCAAAATTTGTTTTAGGGGTAGAACACTTGAATATACCTGTTGTTTTTAATGATCATAAAGAGGTTGAAAAGATGATTAAAAATGTACTATACAAAAATCATGTGTAGCTTTCACCTGAATTTTACCTCATCTTTAAAGAACCAGGTAATCCCAGTCTTTTTCAGAAATCAGAAAAGATTGAAAGCTCTCTGTTCATTTTTAATAACAAACCCTAATAAAAAGTAACACAAGAAAGAAAACAATTGTAAGTCCACTGCTGGTATTTACCCAAGAGAAGTCAAATTTATGTCTACACAGAGACCTGTGCATGAATGCTCATAGCAGCATTAACTATAGCCTAAAGCTAGAAATAACCTGTATGTCTATCAATGGGTGATGGATAAACTGTGCTATTTCTATATAATGGATTACTACTTAGCAACAAAAAGGAGCATTCAGACTACCAATACATGCAAAAACTTGGATAAATATTAAAAAACATGCATAAGTGTGAAAGAATACAGATAACATTACTATCTGATTGAATTTTATGAATTTCTAGAAAAAGCAAACTATTTAGAGTCAGAAAAATGACATAATTTATAATATTCTTCACAGGCTTAATTTTTTTATTATAACTTAATAACTAAAACTCTAATTAGAGTTAATGAAAATTTGCATTGCAGTCTGGATTGCAGCTAGTCTCTTTCCTACCTGACTGTATTCTGCATCCTGCTTAGAGCTTTTTATCTGGCCCATCAACTACCATTCCAGTATCATTTTAAGACATGTGCCATAACTAAGATAAATATAGTTCCTTATTCAAAATACAACTTTCAGAAGGTGTCTTTAAAAACTAAATAATTGTCTGATGCTTGTTTTACTCTTTGAGGCTACTTGTAAGATGTCTTATACTTGAAATTTTAAATTTTATTTTGTTTTTATATTTTTCTGTCTCCTAGAATGCTCCTGCAGATGTTGGCTTCATGGTTTCTAAGCTGCTTTTGACCATACAGTTATGTCCAAAAACAGAATTTCAGCCCAGTGAAAAATTTGGTGAAGACCTAAGTGATAACACTTGGGAGTACATATTTGCCATTGATCTGCTCTGCTGCCATCAGAAATGGGTTTGGACACATGATAACATTATAAGGTACAGGGCTATTTTCTAACTTACAGTAAACTTGGGTTATTTGAATTGTAAGGTAGTCTATTGAATGATTGCTAAATTGTGGTTTGAATAATTTTCGCTGTTTAAAGCAGCTGAAACATTTACAGATGACATCTTGATTGGGATAAGATTCAGTAAAACTACCCTTAAAGTACTTGTATCACTATCACATCTTCTTGCTTTATTTTTTTGTGGTACCTGTCACTACTTTTCATTATAGTCTGTTATTCCTTTCTCTCCCAAAGAGAAATGGCTCGTGATGGAGGCCCTTGGGTCACTGGCATGCCGCAGCATGTGGGACGGTGCCCATTGCAAGGGAGGTGCTCAACAAATATTTGTAGAGTGGGACATAATTACCAGTATCTTAATATACAAATACTCCGGAAAATCCCACATGAACAGAAATATTCAAAATTAGCAGCTCTTCTCCGCTGGGGTTTCAGGAGAGAAATAAATGATGAATTAACTTTTCTCTCTGCAGCTAGAATTCTGGCACTAGATATGTACCATCTTTGGAAGAATGGAGAAGATAGTCAAATTTCTGTTCTGTAGTTCTTAATTTTTTGGAACCCTGACTGAGAAAGGTTGGTTTGAAGGAGTTTATGATATTGAAATGGATTCACCAAAGGATTGATAGTCTGTGTCCTTGAGATACTGGAGGAATTTATTCTATGGAAGTTTGTTCTCACTTCTTTTTTTTTCTCTCCTTAACATTAGGGAATGATTATACATCTAAATGTCAGCAATAGGGAATTATATAATGAGATACAGCCATATTAAAGTAGCTGTAAATGGATTTTTATGTATGGACATGGAAGTATTTCATAGTCTGTTACTAAGAAAGTTACAGAAGTCTGTCCTGTACCTTCTTTCTGTGGAATGATGTGTGAGTGCCTACCTGGGTCTCATTTTCCTGACTTCATAGGAGCAGGAGCCCAAGAGGTACAGCTCTGTCCCCAGTGACTTCACGAAGGAGACCACTAGGGATGGTGCCAGTCAGGGTGGTTTTGTTCCAGATCCTCCCACAGGTGGTGAGGACCTGGAACAAAACACCTCTGACTGGGGTTGTTGAATGTCAGGATCTCTGCCTGAGTGACTCCAGACCCTGAGTCCTAAGCACTGCGGTCACTTTCACCATGTTTTTTAACGTACATGCACATGTAGAAGTGTGTGGAAAGAAAGCCCAAAATTAGAAGAGTGATAATTATCTAAGAATGTGTTATTTGGGATGCTTTTGGTTCACGTTTTTCTTTTGTTTGTCTGCATTTAACTTTTCTAATATTATAAATGCTATGTAAGAAGTAAATACATCTTTTGAAAGAAGACAAAAACAGAGAGGAATTGCACTGTCTTCTGAGATTAGAAAGTTTCTTTAACCCATCTAGTGCATTTTTTAAATTTTAATTATTATTTCCATTGCTTTAGTTCTTTTTACAAATCAGTCTGTTTAACCTTCCTCTTCCCATGGAGACTGTTGGCATTTAGAGCACAGGAGCTGTATTAATGTCTGGAAGGTTTAAGTGAAAATCCATTTCCTCCCTTCCTGTTCTGTGACTTGGGGGCATTGTTCAGCTTCTCTATGCAAAGTCTTGTAAAAAGGGTTAAAACAGAGAATAAAGATGTAAACATAGGTGTCTGTAGCCTCTTTTAAGCCAGTGTGGGCACGAGTGTCCTGATAGTTGGATAGCTTGTGAGCTTCCAGTGTCTGTTCTCATTTTAACCTAAAAAATGACATCTTTAGAAGTTGTTCTTGTTCACTAATTGTCTATCTCTGTATTACAGACAGTTTTTAAGATAAGTTCTTAATATTTGAGTGATGATGAGTACGCATACATTCATGCTTATGTGTATTATTTTATAGTAAGGAACTATGGCCTGTAATGGATAAGTGGATAAAATACAGAAAAGGACATGCGAACATTGCGTATATTCCTGACATTATTATAGCATCGATACTGAGGCTGATCGGTGAGTTGTCACTCGGATTAAATTTTTTCTTGTTGACAATATTCTTGGTGAGTTCATAAGTGTATAATAATATATATTGACTGAAACTTTATCATAATAACTAATTTTGCAGCTATTGGAGTAGATACTTTTGCACTTAATTCATTCTCCTCACTCATCCTTTTTCTTTAAAAATTAATGGTTTTATTCATCTTTGTCAGAGATTAAGGTTGTTAATGTTAGTACATTTTATTTATGATTGAACTCTTGCTTCTCAGATACTAATATTAATCCACACACATGTATATACTTGCATAACACACCAGGATACATAAATTGCTATAAATTATACTATAGTCTTACTTGGTTTCTAAAATAAGACTATCCTATTTTTTCACACCCCTATTTTTTTTCATACCTGCCCAATAAGGATCATTTTATGTACTTCCATAATTGGGAACTAGTTTTGTGTTGTTTTCCTCTAAGCTGAATATACAGAAATTAAAATCATTGTTTAAATGAGACATAGATTCTTTTTAATCTCAGATCTAAGGAAGGACCTCAATACATATTTGGTTCTACTCCTCCCTGAAATCACAGATCATTATTTTTAAATTTTACCCCTCCCCCCTTTGCCTCATCTCTGACAAGCTGCTCTCTAGGCTCTGCAGAATTATCAAGGATGTGATCTATTAATTATTAGCAGGCTCTGTATTTTGAACTGACTTCTTTATCTGCAGCATGCATTCATTGCCCCTAGGCACACAACCCAAGGTTCCTCTGAGTTCTACCTTAAGGCCCTTCAGATACTTGAAGAGAGTTACCATGATTTTTAGGCATCTTTGGAGTTCAGTTAATTAAAACATCAAGATAATACCATTTGAAATCAAGTTTGAGAATGTATGTAAGTCTTTATAAATAGATCATAGTAGGAAATATACTATCCCTGGTTAATTTTGTTACCGTGTCAGCAAATATACATTCCTGTTCTGTGCATATTTTATAAGCAAACATAGGAATATTGTGCTAAATAAATATAAAATTATTTAAGACAACAACCTGGCTACAAGGTAGGCATCTGATTTTTACTTGTTACTAAATAAGTATGAGAATCAAAGACTTGCTATAGAAGATAAAGGTACAAAAATGGAAATGAATAAACTGCTCAGTGGGTTATTGTCTCAGAACATATTTTGCTTAATTCCTCAGTTCCACATATCCTGACGAACGATTTTAGTTCCAAATAGGAAACAATAAGGACACAGAAGAGCCACTGATGACATTTTCAGCAGTCAGGTGGCATCTATATGTCTGGGAATTCTGGTATCAGTAGCACCTTCTCTTATGGATTCAAGAATGTTTGTACTTTGAACTAACTCACTTCCCATTTAATTAATGCAAAACATTTTTGAGGATTTAAGAAATTAGGAGAGGTGTTAAGTCTGTAAATACATATGTTGGCTTAGATGAAGTATCTGACATTTTCAAAAGAACATGGTGCTTTTTGAAGTCACAATTAGAAAATATGAAACGATTTTTGCTGTCACTTGCAGCGGTTGTGTGTTTATGTATTTGTTGATTGTAACAAGAGAGGGAGTGGGAGTGGAAGGCTGTGTTTTTTGTGGCTGACTGTTTTACCCGTGGAAGCAGTCTCTGTTCATCTGTGATGGAGGGTCAGCTTCACAGGTGAGTGTCTACTTCAGGTCGCTCATATGAATCTGGACTTATCAGATTTGGCTGATTGTCCAAATTGCCTGGGAACCTCTTTTAAGACGACAAATTCTCAGGCTCCAAACAAAACTACATAGGATACTATAAGTACTTTCAAACATATACAGTAAAAAGTAACCAACATGAGAATGAAGAAGAATGTGTTAATAGTTTATCTAAAAAATAAGAATGTATAATTGTAGGGAGAAAACCGGACTTATAGTTTTAGTCAAACTCAGGCTAGTTTATTCTTTAAATCTTTAAAATTCTGGCTTTTGAGAAAATAATTTATAAAATTTAATATGTATTATTTAGAGTAATTTATGTATACTTACATAATTAAGAGTTATATTTAGTACAATTAATGTGTTATAGGAATAATTAGTAATGTATACTAATACATAGTTACAGTACTGTATAATAAAAGCATAGTGTATAAATATATAAATGTAATTGAAAGGATGGATAAATACAAAGATAGTATAATGTTGAAAATAGGAGCTGAGTCAGGATTAGTGGATCCTGCTTAGGCCTGCAGGTGGACCAGGGCAGGCTGAGCTAATGTTCCTGAAAAAAACAGGTATGGAGAGGGCTAGAGGGACAGCTGAGCCATTCTAGTCCTGGCTGGTGGTGCTGGAGAGCAATGGTGAAGCTTTGCTGGCCCTGGTTATCTGTGGGCACTGAAGGATCCAGATAAATGGGGACTGGTTAAAGGGTGTCATCTGTGTGCTTTAGCATTTAGTTGAATTTAGTTCCCCTAGTGAGAACCCCAAGAGAACTTTTGTCACTCCACATTATAGCTGTCAATTATATTATTAGAAGTTAAAGCTGAGAGATTTTAGAAGTATTTAATTATTCATTTAAAATTAGCAGTAATAAACTCATTTTAACGTAACATTTTAATGAAAAATAACTTTCTAAAATAACAGTAAGAAGAATGGCACTGCCTTGTTGCAAATCTCTTTACCATCTATCTGGTTTAATGGCAGATAGCAGGTTTCTCTTACCTGCTTGCATTCAGTCTCTTGCACTGTGTTGTTTGGGCTGAAGTATCTGAAGAAAACCCAGTCTCATACTGAAGTTTGATAAAAGGACTATTTTGTCATCTTTTTGGATAATTGTGGACATTCTTCTTTCTTGTCAGTGTGAAACCTGACTCATTGCCAGTGAACTTTGCTCACTGTTACACTGAAGATGCTTGCACATAGAAGGGATCTTTTGCCCACTCATGAGTACCATGCATTACTCACTTGGAAAATAATTGATTCACATAGATCTTCCAGATGTCAGCAGTATCAAGAAAACACATTTATATCATCACTGATCTCATCAGAGAAATCTTAAGTATTTGAAACTGTCAAGTTCAGGGTAGCTGATGAAAGTTTTTCTAAAATTCTGATTTTGCTTAAAGGCTCAAATTTTATCATTGACAACAAAGATAAATTTCCTTGCAGTGACAGCCTCACTTTATTCATTTTTAAGAAAATATCTGCCTCAGTCTAAACATCTGTAGTTTGTCAGTCAGCTTTTCAGTGAAAAGTGAGGGCTGGTACTCCACACTGTAACAGCAGTCATGTTACACAGCTATATTATAGTATCAAAGTGTTACACACACACGCACACACACACACATGCACCTACCCACCCTGGGGATTGAGTCCACAACCTCGGCGTATGCCCTGACCAGGAATCAAACTGGCAACCTCTTGGTGCATGGGTGAACACTCAACCACTGGCCCACACTGATTGGGCTAAGAGTTGGTCTTTTAACATAATAGAAGTTAGCTATTTCACACTGGAGCCTACTGAAACCACGTATTCTTCTAAATTCCCCTTATTTATTATAACTTACCTGAGAAAGCAAAACATTATATATTATCTGTATGTGTGAATAAGAGATGACTAGTGATTTTCTTCACTCCTGTAAGAAATGGTGCTTAACTGATTTCTGATTCTTTACTATTTAACCTGTTTTCACTTAGGAATAAGTACCCATTTTAAGTTCAGTTCAGGATCATTAAAATTAATGTGCATGATATTTTATGAAAGAAAATAAATTCTAAATTCTTATGAAAAATTAATATTTGACCAAAGGTTGTTTAAGATTGTTCATATTTTGGTTTATTTCTTTTCCCCCTAGGTCGTTTAGGCCAGTTGGGCTTGAAGGAAGGGTTTCCATCTGCTGTGAAAAACATTAGTTCGGTTATTGGTATGTTCATCCAGCATGCCCAGGACGAAGGTACATTGCTGTTTGTGAATCACTTGCATTGCACTTGCTGAACCGCACTTTGTGCTCGCTAGGTCCAGGTGCCGTGCTCTGCCTCTCTCGCCGCCCGATGGGTGAGGAGACAAGGGTAGTTTTAGATGCTGCAGCCTGGCTACATTTTCAGCAGAGCCCCAGCTCTTGCTTATTAAAATTGTTTTTTAAATGGCTGAATTTGTTTTACCATTAGACTTTTTTTTAGTCCTTGTTATGAGCCACCCACTCTGTGCTGCTCTAAATGTGTTGTGGATTAGGGGGAAGTGCTTTTTTTCCAAATAAATTTTACTTGATTTCAGAGAGAGGAAGCGAGAGGGAGAGAGAGAAACATCAATGATGAGAGAGTCATTGATCAGCTGCCTCCTGCATGCCCCCTGCTGGGATCGAGCCCAAAACTGGGCATGTGCTCTGACTGGGGAACCGCAGCCTCCTGGATCATAGGTCGATGCTCAGTCTCTGAGCCACGCCAGCCAAACAGGGGGAAGTAATTTTAAAGCTGCAGTACTGTCTACATTTTTAGCATCAACATTTGAATGTATGGGTTTTGTGATGTTTTTATTTATTTTAAATAGTAGCAGTTTGCCTTGTTGGGCATCACATCACTAAAAGAAATCTGAAATATATAGTTAATAATATTAATGAAACAACTCCTAAACTTTTTAAAGTATTTCAACGAATAAGACCTTAACTAAAATTTAAGAAATTTTAATGAAATCACTCCTAAATAAACTTATACTAAATGAGAACTGTAATGTACCATAATCTATAACTTAGCTATAATCTATAGTTATATGCTATAATCTGTAAACGTATACTGTAATCTAGTATGTGAAAGTATGGTGCGAGGGGTAGCTTTTCATTTATTTTCATTTCATTGTGATTTTCATTTCCAAAGTCCCTTTATAAACACTTCCAGTGGATATTTAATGGAGTCATTTGTTTGGGGTCCATATTTTATTAAAACTTAAACATGGGTGTGTTGGAACTATGTTGGAAAGCTTAGCTTATGTTGGTCATGAGAGGGCAGGAGCCTTGTGGCCTGCCCTGTGCCCTCCAGTAACACACTAGCTGTGCTCAGCGCACAGGCTAGCACCAGCAACCTGCACAGAGCTGTGCTGCATTTGTTCATTTTTTCCCCCACTTAAATTAATTTTTTTACTGTGGGTCTTGTTTTTTATATTTAGCTTTTATTGCTGGCAGAAAGTGTTCTGTATTTGAATAGCATTCAGTAGATCACACCATTAAAATTTTGAATAAGGAACATGTTTTTATGTGGTGATGGATGTGAAAATTCCTTTCAGATATACCATGGGGTATACAGCTAGCAGCCGTGTATGCTCTTTGTGACTTGAGTCCCAGCAATCCAGCGGAAATATCCAAGATCCTGGAAGCGTGGCGCAAGGAGACCTCTCACAGCGTTCCCTCGGCAGTGGTCAGCTCCCTGGAGGAAGTCAGTGCACTGTGCGCGGAGGAACTTGGCTAAGCCCCGCTGCACTGCACCTAGAGAAGTGCCTTCACCTATCTTGAGTATAAACAGGTTAATCGCCTTTCAGAATGCAAACAGGTTTCACAGAGAAGACGCAAATGAGAAAATGGGAAGAGGCTCTCCTCACTGTGCGGCAAGGAGAAGTACTCAGCGGCACAGCTGTGTTTCCCTAAACCACACTTACATCACTTAAGGCCGTCGTGACTACGTGACCTATGGATTGTATTATTGTGTCTTGGTCAGACAACAAAAACTTGAACTTAGCCCTTTTTGCTGCAGAAAGTGCCCTTTTAGTCGCTTTTTAAAATTGAGTGGCATTTTATAATGAATTTAATATGAAAGCATTGATTTGGTTCCTGAGCTAATTCTGGCCTTTGTGCTCAAAGGACTGAGTAGGAAAAACTAAATTGGCTAAAAAAGAACTAGAAGACTCTTCACTGTCTTAGCTGGAAATGGGCTATAGAAGTTTTCTCACGGTATAGTGCACAACTGATCCGAGTAAAACACAGGGAGCCTCTAGAAACTCACCTTCATGCGTTTTCTTCACAAGAGTTCCTTAACTAAAGTTCCTTTAGCTATTTAACTATCAGGAAGAGGAGACTGAGAAGAAGAAGTCCACTGCAGGTTCTGTGTCAACGGCGTATACATACGGATTCAGAGACCGGCACGGCAGGCAGAGCTCTTGGCCGTGTACGTTCGGACAATGTGATAATGTGTGTCACATTCGATGATGTTCCGCTTTCGGAATTTTAGTATTTGTACAGAGAAAATGGGTTTAATAACTCACCGTGGTTCTGATTTGTCTTATATCCATCATTTCTTAAATCTCTTGTATGTGTTTTTTATAATAAAAAATAAAAGTAAGCCATGTACATTATTGTTCTGATGAGTGAAGATGACGGCCATTCCTAAAGACCCCCTTCTGGATAGAAACGTGCTGCTGTGCCGTGTTTCTCCGTCAGCGTGTTCTCCGCAATGCTCTTAGTGATAGCACACCAGCTGACTCAGTGTTGATTGGCCTCACGATGGATGTGTTTGTTCAATTACAATTGCTGCCCTTTACAAATTACACTTGACAAGTGTTTTACTCTTCTGTGTTTTTTTAAGTAAGTATAACAACAGATTTATGAACAACTCTTTGTAGCCCTTTGGAAGCTTTTGTTTGGTGCATTCATTTTTCTGCCAGTACTTATTTGAGCATGTGCTCTGTGCTGGTGCCTCACTGGGAGCATCAAGGGAACAGGCAGTGAAGAACAGCTACTCAAAGACCTGTGATCTAGTGGTAGAGCAGTCACCTCAGGAAGTCAACAGTTGAAAATTTTGGTGAGTTCAGTGATAAAAATGAGGTTTGCAGTAAAATGGCAGGTAGACTCTGCACTTTCTAGGTGTTGTTCCAGGAGGATCCCTCTGAGAAGGTAACACTTATGGCAGGACCTGAGAGAAAGGAGCCAGCCTTGAAAGTAGGGGACATGTGTCTCTTCTGGAAAGGTGAGTGTGGCTCGGAGAGGGAAAGAGCCTTTGTGTGCAGAAAGGAGGCTGATCTAGCCAGACATACTGTTTAAGGGACAAGTTTCATTTGTCCATTTATACAGGTAACTGCCAGTCCCTGGGACTTGGGCAGAGATGTCACATGAGATTATAATTCCCTGGGCTGTTCTGTGGCAGAGGGGTGTGAGAAGGGCAAGAGGTGAAGCAGAGGGACCTGTCCGGGGGTAAGGGAGAGATTATGGTGGTAGATGGTTTTCAGCATCTTCTTGAGGTGTAATCAATGCTAAGTTCCTGAACTTGGGTGAGGGACAGGTAAGAATCAAGGTTTAAGGTTACTGAGTTGGGTTCCTGTGGGTGGGGACAGGTGCACAAGTTGTTAGGAATCACAAATCCTGGGTGCTGGCTTGGGACGGGGGGCATCATAAGACAAGTGGAGGTGGCAGGGAGCCTTTACAGGACAGTCTGGAGTTCAGACAGAATAGGGCAGAAGTTAGGAAGCTGTGTATGGAGGCTGTTTAAAGCTATGTGTGTGCGCACGTGTGTGTGTGCTTGTGTGGGTGCGTGTGTGTTCACCTAAGGAGAAAAATAACATGGCAGGGGGCGGAGGAGGAAACACCTGTAGGGCAGGAGGTGGGAGTGGTGTAGTGCCTTGGTGACTGTCTCCTTGCCGGAGCCAGGAAGGCAGGCGTCGGCCATCTGTGCTTGTTGAAGCTGCAGGGTCAGGTGAGCCAGCCAGGTGATGGCTGCATTTTGCGTCCTGTGGGTGTGGAGCCTTCTGAGCAGTTCCCACAGAACAGTGGGCTTAGGGTGATACAAAGTGAAGAGACGAGCAGGTCTGCAGGTGTGTGTTTTGGAAAATTTGCCTAGTGGATGGATTTGTCAGAAATGTTCAGAACACTTTTTTTTAAAACATCATCTGTTTTTTGGTGGAGAATAGGTAACACCTGACACTTTCTGCTGGTTGCCATTTTCCTGACCATTTGGTGTGTGGAGTTTGTCAGTATCTGCTCCGTGTGTGACCTGATGATAAATAGGCCTGAACTTGCCTTTGGTGCTGTTTCACCCTCAGAGGATGAAGCAGTTTTAAGCTGTTAATAAATTTAATTTCTGGTATTCAATCAAAATGTTGTAGGGTTTTATCATTTGGGGGAAAAAAAAAGTGAATAAGCATTTGAACCTGGATTTGGGTGGGGCTTTAGGTCAGTGCACCAGGAAGCACACAGGTTCTGGGCAGCCAGGCTGGGTCCCACAGACCTTCGTAAGTAGCCTGCAACACACTGGCATGCTGCCCTGCAGCCACTCGTGCCAGCTGGATGGTAACAGCCCAGGAGCCGGAGTAGCTGTTCCAAGTGGGGCTGTGGCTGTAAAGGAGAACGATGGCCAGTGGCCAGTGATCTTTATGGACATCTGAACCTTTTCCTGATGCACATTCCTAGGGACAGCCCGACTTTTTGTTCCCAGCATGAAGCCGGCCTGTAGGTGATACTTCAGGCTGTAATTTCCTACCCTGAGACTGCTTGGTCACATCTCTTACTTTAAGAGAGGGTGTAACAGTGTAACTCAAATTTAATATGAAGAGAGCATGGAGCAGGATCTGTACTTGGCGATAGAAAGAGCTGCACTGTGGCCGTTAGAGGGCACTGTAGACTCGCCGGTGGACTACACTGGCCAGAACACAGGGTGCCTTCCTGGGACAGGCTGTGCAGTTTACACCCTGAGAGCCTTGGTGTCATGGAGACATCCACCTAGTGCTACCACCTTGGCCCATTATCCAAAAGTAAATGAGAAAAACATGAAAGCCCTGCCCCCACAATAGGAACAAATACTTTGTCAATTTTTTTCCTGGATATTTTTTAATGATCCTAAAATAAAATGCGTGACCAGAAAACAAACGAAGCAATTAGTTAGGTCACGCTGCCCACATTGAACATACTCAGTTTTTTTCAAGTAACATTTCCAACACATTCTCATGTAGAATTATTGTAAGGAGTCAGTAGTGTGAATAGAGCTTATAAATGTGAGTTCAGTCAACCTGCCTAAGACTGCAGATGCAAGAAAGGGTTCAGTGAGGAGTGTTCTGAAAATTGAGAGGAGTTTTGAAGGTAAGAAGGCCATTAACTTAAACACTCCTCTTCCACTTGCCTGACACCTGCTTAGAGAAAATCAGTGTCTTCTGTTTTGGTTGTGAAACAAACGGGAAGTTCTTTTTCCCGCCCCTGAAGAAAAGTTTAAGGAAGACCTTTTGTAGCATGTCGTTTCTGTGTTAGTAAGCTGTGCTTGTTTTTATGAATTAAAGACCAGTCACTGTATCACAGTCAGTTTGCTCAGCACAATTAAGTGGTTCTATGTAAGCAAAGAATTGTGGGTGAAGTGCCATTGAGAGATGCTACAATTCAGTCTTATGGAAGTGAAAGCGCCTGCTTGCTTTTCGGTACTTTGGGTTTTTGTGAGCAATGTTAGGACCTTTGCAGGTGCTGGTTGGGCCTACCCTGTGTGCCAAGGTTTACCTTGGGGCCAGGCAGGCCTCTGATTACCCTGCTGGGAGGTGGTGCTGCCCAGCATCCTCCCAGGGGCTCTGTGCACAGGGGGATAAGGGTGGGAGGCCTGGCTGGCAGGTACCGAGACCAGTGGTTCTCAAAGGGCATGACCTCACCCCACACCCACCAAAAGCAAACTGGGAGTCTGATGGTGTGGTGTAAGGAGGCCCCCAGCAGTTATGGAACCTGAGAGCTGCTGCCACCCTGTCCTGCCTGGGCACCTGCCCTTTGCTCTGGGCTCTGCCCTCCTAGCCACTCCCTACATAGGCTCTCCCACTGTCCCCTTCTTGGTTCATTTCAGTGGAATTTGGGAGAAAGTGGATGAGAGCCTGGCAGCTGCCTCCCACCATCTTGAACCTGGTCCCTTTGTGTGTGTGTGTGTGTGTGTGTGTGTGTGTGTGGTGTTTTAACAAATAGTCATTAATTGCTGCTTTGAAATGATCTCACCGTAAATCTTGAGTGTACAACTGACAAAACTTAGAGAACAATGGGGCGTAGAAATGCACGCCCTGAACCCAGCACACCTTGGCACCCTCCTGATTGTCATGTTTTTATATGTAAATTTGTATTATTACATATTTGTTTTAATAGTTTAAATTGTAATCCAGTGTATTTTATTACTTAATCTTTTCATGTTATTCATATGTTGTATGCGAGTAGTAAATTAAATATTAAAACAGGTCACACACTGGAATGTCTGTCTCCCTCTTTCCTGTCACTCAGACCCTTCTCTGGGGGCAGTTCTGTGTCCAACTTCTGTCAGCAGCTTCCCTCCAGAGACCCCTAGGCCCAGGGCATACTGGGGGAGATGCCCATTCCCAGCTACCCCTGATGTAACAGGAACATCAGGACTAGGCCCTCTCTTCTCCACCCATTTCTTCTAATAATCCCCAAGGTTAATAACACATGAGTTGTCTATGCTCATCTCCCTGCTCTGCTCTCCGTGCCAGTGTGGAATTAGGTCCTACATGCCAGCATTTCCCCTTGGAAGTTGTCCTGTAGGATAGGAGCCATGGTGGAGGACTTCAGGTTATATGAAGTGGTGAATCTCATTTAGCTATTTAAAGTGAGTTTCCCTCAGAAGCCAAGAGTGCCAGGAAGTCAAGGCTGTAGGGCTGTCCCTTTGCTCTGGCCTCAGGATTCTGGATGCTGGATGGAGGGAGGAGCGGGATGCCTGACCTGGAGTCAGGAGCCCTGTATGCCTCCCCAGCAGGGCTATGTCCCCCACTGATAGAGCTCACAGTCTGGAGTGAAGGGCTGGCCAATAGGCAGCATGTCCACTTTCTCTACCCAACTTTCCCCCATGGCAGCTTGTGTACCCAAACTCCTAACTCAGGCCTGTTTTATGATTCCTTTAAGTCCAAGCCAACACCAGTTAGGTTCATAAAACCAACCTTAATAAAAATGCGGCAAAACCTCAAAGTAACCATTCTGACTTTTGAAGAATAATGACATTTAAAGTTTTGTGACAGCTCTTTACGAAAAAACACCTAGTAGTGTTTCAGGGGCAGAGTTTAGAGGCAATACATGTGTGGTTTATGATGAGGAAACATTGTGTTATGAGGGAACCGAGTCACTGCCCTTTTATTTGCACTGCTTTGTTCTGCACTACATTTAAGGTGACTGTGCAGACTAGTGAAAGGGACCTGGATGTTGGAAAGCAATTGACAAAGATAAGAGCAAAACCTGGAGTACCCTCCCCTAGGGCACCTTTCATATGCAGTGGGGAAGCCCCACCTGGCCTGCCCATCAACCACTAGCAGATAACCACCAGCAGGTAAAAAACAACAGTCAGTTAAAAAACAACAGTCGTGTTTGCAAATACTTGGACATTCAAATTTGACCTCCAGAAACTTTCTTCATAGGAAGACTATTGGTTAATATCAGTGTTTCTATGGGGAGAAAGGCCGCCTGGCCTGTATCCCTATATAATTTTTGATGTTTCACCTTTGGGGGGGAAAATGTTTCTGGAGAAAGAATAGTTTTCACAAAGAGGCATTTAACCCACAGGGTTTCTCCCAGCCCCCACCCCTGATATAGGCACAAAGAAGGTCAAGGGGAAGGTCAGGGGGAAGGCTGGAACTGCATTGTGCCTGCCAAGCACATGGTCCTAGCCACACTGTGATTTCGGGAAGCTCCTACTAAGAATTCAGCTGCTGGCCCTTGGCCAGTGTGGCTCTGTTGGAGCATTGTCCTGCCACCAGAAGGTCAGGGGTTCAATTCCTGGTCAGGGCACATACTTATAGATGTATCTCTCACATTGGGCACATACCCGGGTTGCGGGCTGCAGCCAATCAATGACTCTCATCATTGATGTTTCTATCTCTCTCCATTTCCCTGCCTCCCTTTCTAAAAACAAAACAAAAAAACAACCAGTGCCTTCCACCTATAGGATGTTTATTTCCTCCAGAGTTGTCTTGTTAATGTGGAAACATCTAGAAAAGCAGAGTTGGGGTCTGTTGTGGCGGGAGTGCTAGATCTCTTCCAGAAATGTGTGATCAGCTGAGGGAGAGGTGCTGCAGAAGACCAAACAACCCTGTTCCCCACCTTAAAATGCAAAAAGAAGTGTATTATAAAAGCCCCTTTTGCAGGTCAGCCTTCAGAATGCCAATTTCACAGTGACTTCTTTAAGAAGTAAGGAGCTGCCCAGCCAGGCGTGGCTCAGCGGTTGAGCATCGACCTATGATCCAGGCAATCGGGGTTCTGTTCCCGGTCAGGGCACATGCCCGGGTTGCGGGCTGCAGCCAATCAATGACTCTCATCATTGATGTTTCTCTCTCTTTCCATCTCCTTTCCTCTCTCTGAAATCATAAAGATATATTTAAAAAAAAAAAAAAAAAGCA